AATAAAAGGTACTCTCCCTTCTTCTTAGAATAGAGAAACTTTTATCTTTCTGCCTACTTGATTCTTCTTATTCGTTCTGCTATTGATTGAAACTCTTTCGATCAACTCAGAATTATACTTAATCTTATAAGTATAACCATATTTACTAAACTTTAGTAAATCATGACGAATATCTTTATCACTCTTGTGATGGACTTGATCAACGCACAACCTAGTGTACTCGATCTCCTAGTCCTTCTCTTGACACTTTGCCAAAGAATTAGTCTAATTTCCAAATATGAAGTTTCTCATTCATCACGCAACCAAGTTGTATGATTCCAAGTTTCTGTCCAATTGAAACTTGGGCGATGAGAATCTTCCTTTATTTGGCAAATTCTCGACATTTCCACAAATAACATAATAAAGAATCCATTATTGCTAACAATAGAAACAATCAAACATCAATTTTTCATACACACCATTGCAAGGATAAATAAATAAGACAAAATCAAATTTTATTTTATTGCGGAAAAATTTTGTCCTTACAATGCAATTCAACTGAAAAACTATGCTATTTCATATTTCTTATCATTTTATCCTAACTCTAGAGTAGCAGCTCAAAAATCTGATCCTCGAGTCCATGCGATCGAAATCCATTTCTTCATGATCAGATTCAGCACGCTTCTTCCTTAAGCTTCCTCTCTTTTCTTCGATCCTGCAAAAACATCAAAATGTAATCTTATCACATCATGTATTAAGAATCAAAGAATAGGAACTTATAGAGTTAGTTAATAGATTTTACCTGAAGTAGAGCCATACGTCTTGACTCTCCCATCTCTTAGATCTCTCAGGTAAACAGGGCAGCTTCGTCTCCAATGCCCTTTCTCTTGGCAGTAGAAGCAGATGGACTCTTTTGGAATGGCACAAGGAACTATCTCAGAATTTACCTTTTCTGGATTTCCAATGTCACCATTTTCAATGTCCATTGAAGTTTGGGAGTTTGATTTGCCAGACAAATTTGCTCGATCAGCACGCCAAATCATTTCTGATTCAGCAGCTATAAGCAAATAGGTCAAATCAATGAGGGTCACGTCATGGTCCATCATATAGTACTCTCTAACGAACTCACTATATGATTCAGGAAGTGACTGAAGAACCCAGTCAACAGCCAACATTTCTGAGATATCGACACCCATCATCCTTAACCTATCAATGTGTGACTTCATCTCTAAGATGTGTGCACACACAGGTTTCCCATCTTCGTGTTTACTTGCCAAAGGGCTTGAGTGAGCTTGAACTTTTCAAGCCTTTGAACTTGTGGTTTAGGGAGAATAATTGGAGGAGGTGGAGGAAGTGAAGCATGACTCTCATTTCCTTGATCGTATCGTGGAACGTCATCTTCATTTGGAAAGCTTGTTCCAAGGGACTTGGGAAGACCATTGTAAGATTTAGACATCTACAAAACGGGAGAAAATTCAAGTTAGTTGATAAGAATCCTTGATGTAACACCCAAATGAAACATCAAGGCTAGGATCCAACACAATACTCTACAACCTAGAAGAGGGATGCCGTAATCTAGTTGCAGAATATTTGAAGGTAGGTAAATGACGATTTACCAATTCCACCATGAAAACAAAAAAAAAGTTTAAGTTTTAAATGAATTGAAACTCCTAGATCTTTTGAGATTCATTGAACTTTTCAATGGCATGTTTAATCTCGATTATGCCCTTCAAGTTTGCGACTGGGATGCCGAGGATCACAAACAAGGTGTGAATAACCATACGAATCACGTGGTGCACCCAATTGCTACTATCACCTAATCAATGTGCCGGTTAGCCACACACGCTCCATTGATCTATGATAAACATCGAGCCACCCTTCGCCACCAATGTCAATCCCAAATTAGTGTGCCGGTTAACCACACACGCTCCACTAACGTTTCGACAAGGGTACAAAGTGTAATTCCATGGATTAGCATACAATTCCACATTTTCCTAAAGTAACTATGATTTGGGAATTTGTAAAAGCATGTAGTTACTTTGTACTTCATTATACTTATAATGGAAGGTTTCGTCCTATCCTACCCGTTCGGCTAACGACCCTCCACTAGTCAAGAGTGCGGTGGGTAAGAGTGGATACCCATTAATCGCCATTTTATAGGCAATTTCCTTAAACACCCCTTATAGACCAGCTTCGTGAATGAGGCCTACTAACGGTAAGACTGACTCTTTACTCATATATATAATATTAGACTTTTAATGTTACATATATATAGTATAGGGTGTATTTTACACTTTTAAAATACTAGGTGGTTCAATTTAATAAATTATACTTTTAATTTAATCAAATGTAAACCAAAACTTTATGGAATTATTAAATCTCTTTTAATTATACACTTTAATTAATTAATAAAACCATAAGGGTGTAATTTGAACTTTTTCAAAAAATACGAGGGTTTTAGAATTTAACATTTCAAAATTAAACTTTTAATTAACTTTTAAATTCCAAAACTTGAGGGCAAGTTTTGAAACCTTTCAAAACATTAGGGTTTAACTATTTAAATTTCAAAAACAAAACTTTTAAGTTCAAATTTAAACTATAAAACCTAAAGGGGAAAATTGAAAATTTTTCACAAGATAATTCAAATCTAAATTACAAATAATCAATCTTTATCTAATAAAACAAAAGATTATCTAAATTTTGACAATTATCTTCTATTTTGGCAAGGATAATCACCCAATATCAATAAAAATCAGATATTATGAATTAAAAACGTTTATGGTAAGTATCCCAAGCCAAAACAGCAAGAAAATCGCCAAAAAACGCTGCCAGACTCACTGACTCGTCGAGTCAGCACTGGACTCGTCGAGTACCCAGTGGACTCGGCGAGTTCAGTCATGGACTCGGCGAGTCCAGCCCCAAAATTCAAAAAAATCGTTTTTCAGCCAATTTTCGATCAAGTAAGCATCAAATTAACTAACAAACAGCCCTAGGCTCTGATACCACTGATGGGTTTCGAGCAATACATCATTCCTATGGTGGTACATGCAAACCCTAATAGCTTTTGGATCTAGTTTGTCTAATGAACATGCAATCGAATATCCAAAGCTATAAACCCTAGATCTATCATATAAGAACTGAAATAAGGGTTTAGTAATTACCTTTGATTGTTATATAGTAATAACAATCAATTCCTTGCTTTGATTGGCTTCATAAAGCTTAGTGCCTCAAGTGTTGCACCTCTAATGGACTCACAAACACCACTAAGCAATTGGATGAAGGATAGAAGAGAGGGGAGGCACCAAAAACGGCTGGAAACCCTAAAGGAACACTTGGCCACGTTTTTGGGGCATAGGGGTCCTTTATATACATGTAGGCTATTAGGGTTTGCAACTACGAAACCCTAATCTGACTGCTTAGGCCCTAAGCAGCCCATGAACTCCTTTAACATATCCCTTGGAAGATTTCTAATGGGCTTCTCATAGAATTCGTCCAACCTATATATTATTAGGTGATCCATAGCCCAATTGTAATTATCTTATAATTACAAATCCAGTCCCCTAAGTTTAATTAATCTCTTTTAGCCACTAAATTAATTCTTAATTAATTCTTGACTAATATTAATTAAACAATATGATTTCTCCTTTAATATATTATTCTTATAATATATTAATAAATCATAATCAAACCTTTCTCTCCTTAATTCATCCTACATATTGCTATGGTGAAGGCAACCCAAAAGGACCATGCTCACAATCGGGTCAAGTACATACCAAAATAGTTATGGACTTAGACACTAATCCAACAAACACATGCAGAGATATGTGGATCGTTTGCTCAAACTAAATGTGAACTTTGATGAGGAGTTGGCTATTGACATAGTCCTGCACTCATTGTCTCCTTGCTATGATCAGTTCAAAATGACTTATCATCTGAGCACAAAGGAAGTCACATTAAGCAAACTTCAAGGCTTGCTGAGAACTGCTGAAAGTGGATTGAAAAGAAAAGCTGTTGAATCCACTCCTGGTACTTCTACCCCAGTCCTGGCTATTGGACAAGGGAAGGGGAAAAATAGGAAAGCTCCCTCAAAGCAAAATTGGAAGGGAAAGTCGCATGATGGGTCTTCTAGTCGTGGACCCAAAGGAAAAAAACAATTCTACTCCCCCTGCCTTAGATCCAAAGGATGCAACGTGCTTCTACTGCCAAGACAAGGGGCATTGGAAACGAAGCTGCCCCAAGTACCTGCAGGACATTAAGGATGGCAAGATAAAGCCTTCCTCGACAGGTATTTACACTATTATGTCTAAAAATTCATCGCATTCTAATTCTTGGGTCCTTGATACAGGATGTGGTTTTCACATTTGCTCTGACTTGCAGGGACTAAGAGAAAGTAGGGATGTGGAGCTTGGGAATATGAACCTGATAATGGGCAATAGGAGTTCGTCGCCTGTTACCAAGATCGGCGTTTATTCTTTAAAGCTTAGTAGTGGATTATGTTTAGACTTGAATAATTGTTACTACTCGTAAAAAATGACGATGAATAATATTTCCTTTCATGGTTTGTACAGACAAGGTTTCAGATATTCTTTTGATAATGATAATGGATCTATTAATGCTTATTATAATGGTGTATTTTATTTTAATGCATTGCCTTGTGATGGTGTATATGAAACTGTGATGGTTGTAGACAATTTAGGAAATAGTGTGTTACAAATTGATATGTCTAATGATTTAGACAAAGCATGCTCACTACAAGAAAACAGACCTTTAATGACACGCACTGATTTATGATATGAAAAAGTGTGTGTCCTAAGAAGCTCTCCAGAAATTTGAAGGATATAGGACACACATTTTTGGGTGCCCGAAAATTACTGTAAAAAAAAACACGGAGGGCGCCTATGAAAAAGAGTGTGTCGTATAAGCGTGTCGCTTTATAAATTTATTTGGAAACACGCGTTCTTTATCCCGGGGAGGGGGGAGGAAGGAAATCCCAAAAAGTTAAAAACCGCACTTTTTCTTCCTTATTTCCACTGGACGAAAATCTCTTCCCTTACAAGCCCTAGGTCCGATTGAATGAAAAGCAGGTATGGTTCTTCTCTTTCGGTTGAACAATGGTATGTTGTGCTTACGTCGTTCTCCTCGTACGACACCCTGAGCCTTCCGATGAGCGTGTCGAGGATCCCCCAAGCTTGTTTCAGTGGACAAGCACACGACACCGGTGGGTTTGGGTAGCCAAAGCAAGGACATCCTATCACGTGAACCTTCGTCTTCCCGAACTGGTCGAGGTACTTTAGGAACTCGATCACGTGGGCGTCGTTGCACCTCGCTAGCGTCAACGGTGGTTTGTAGTTCTTTAAATACTGCAAGAACGTGTTCCAGTCACGGCGCTTCTGTGACTCGTATCTGCTGAGTGATTGTGTTGTCGTGGCTTGTGACCTTGATCTTCCGGTAGGTGACTCAAGTGCACCACCTTCCACTAGATGAAAATATTTTCTCCTTACAAGCCCTAGGTCCGATTGAAAGAGAAGCAAGTCTGATTCTTCTCTTTCGATTTAACAAAGGTATGTTGTGCACTACTAGAAAACAACCCTTTAATGACATGCAAACAATGACACACGTTGATAGAGGACACACATTTGTGCGTGCCCTAAAAAATAATGTCCGTTTTGCAAAATTTGAAGGATAGAGGACACACATTTGTGTGTGCCCTAAAATTAGTGTCAGAAAAGAAAAAAAAGGAAATGCGGAGGGCGCCTTTCATAAAATGTGTGTCATCTAAGTGTGTCGCTTTATAATTTTTTAATAAAACACGTGTTTTAAGGCGGGATTTCACCCGCCTATTGGATTCCAAAAATTAACCCCCCCTCCCCCCCCCCCCCCCCCCCCCCCGCCTCTTCCAATTAGCAAGAAAAAGCCCTAGGGCCTTCGTCTTCATAGCAGCATCGCACCACCACCCAACCTCCGATCTCGCACCGCCAAGTGTCTCCTACCATCTTCTCCAACCATTATTTCCTGTCGCACTCCACCGATAACAAAACCCCCATCATGATATGCTATTGTTTGTATTTCCGGCTTCTAATTACGTCACGTATCTTACCTTCCAACCGGCACAAAGTAAAATCCATCGTTTCGCCTTCTTCTCCAACCATTTGGGAGAAGTTGTTTCCAAACGTTTCATTACGTTTAACCAGCTTCTAAGCCAATTTTCCCTTCCATCTTACGAACACGTCCTATTTTTCTTCGTCAGCGATTCCTTTCTCCTCTAACCACTTTCTCGGCTTCTGCCCTGACTTATACGAACTACAGCATCGACAAAAAAAGCTAATCTCACTTACAACAAGAAACCCCTAATTCTTTCCTTTAACTCATCTTCGCAAAATCAAGTACATGCAACCATCGTCTATGAGAGTATGTCTGTCTTCTTCCTCTTATAATCGCTAAGCCATCGTCTATGAGAGTATGTCTGTCTTCTTCCTCTTATAATCGCTAAGCCCTAACACCGAAGATTGAAAGTCAATTGACCCTCCATTCGAAGAAAAACGTAAGCATTTTCCTTTATTTATTCCATTCCGTTAGTTCGACCTGATATTCTTCTGTTCTTCGTCTTTTTTCTTCCAGATTATCCACTGTAGCCCTATACTGTGTTTTCTTTAAATGGAGAACCATTCAATTTAGGGCTTGATTGCAATTTTCTCCACAAAGATTATCCCGACAAACTGTGCTGGTAATCCCTCGACTTTCCTTCAGTTTTCTATATGAAATGTTTTAAAAAAAATCATAACTCGTTGGTTCATGCCTCCAATTTGATTTCAAAGTCTTTCGCGCCCACAATCTGAACTTTTCCCATATTGACCTACAGAATTGTGATGCAATTTGTCTTTGTTGACCAGATCTTTCAACAAAGGTTAGACTTCCGGTATATGCATACTGTTACTTTCCCGAATCTTTCTCTTTGAGAAACGTAATTTGATTTGATAGCATAACTTTCATTTCAAATTAACATCTATTGATAACATTTATTTATAATCAATCAATTTATGATTTATGAATGTTATTGCAAATTTAGTACAATAAAGGTTCATCCGCTTTATGCAAATTATGTGGAATTAATTTAATTTTCTCAATTTATCCTAAATTACCTACATTTTATTGAACCAGATCCTGAATGTGTTCACAAGTAATGCTGGCTTAAAACTCACATGTGAATGGTAGGCCAACAATCATACTATGTGCACAATATATCAAGCAAAAATATTTTTCTTACATGATAATTTGAGGGATAGGATCAGGGAAACCATTGAAATCATGGAGCTTATTAACAATGTTGCCACAACCCATGGTGATTACTAATTAGCTATTCTTTATATAATTTAGACAACACCTTGATTTTTTTTTCTTGACACCACTTGTAAACAATTTTTGTTTTGTTTCCTCAGGTGGTTTCTCTGTCTTTGCTGGTGTTGGAGAACGTACACGTGAGGGTAATGATCTTATGAGACTTTTTTTGCAGACAAAAATGCCCCTGTGTGCCTAATATTAGAGCCAAGCTGTTAGTCCTTCAAAAGGGTGTGTGTCATACTGTCATTAGTCATACATTTAAAGGGTTCTTCAAGAATTTATTTTACAATGGCAATTGGCATGTGCCAACCCAAGAAGCTCTTCCTTGAGCATCATTAATATCAAATTCACTCACATTTATATAACTTTGAAAGGTAAATTAGTCATGAACTTAAGCTTCATTTCAATATCAAATTTGTTGGCTTGTTACATAATTAAAAAGTGTATATAACTTAGCTGATCTCAGGCTATATATTAGACCTCCTACTTCCATGGCATTGGCCGTGTCAACCTCTAGGCTCCCCTCAATATACTGCTTCCATGGCATTGGCCGTGTCAACCTTTGGACTTTCTCCCTTAGGTGATTGTTTTAGGATGCTAAAGGTAATGTCAAACTTTGACTTTTATAATTCATGAGTCACGTTTCTACTTTCTAGTTATTTATTTTCTTTTTTAGGCCAAAGAAGCCGATCTTATTATACAGAACAAGGATTTATATAGAGATAAGGAACATTTATCACAAGTGAAATTGCTATGTTTGCAGAGTATCTAATATTGTTTACAATTAATTGTTCTGATTTCTTGCATTATGCAACAAGAGTATATATGAGGAATTAGCGTGTGGAACTTTAACTTGGAGGATTTAAAGAATCAGGCTGCACTTGTATGTGTTCAAATATAAGACAAGGAAGGATATATCAGATTTGATCATGAAATGCTTGTTTTTTTTACGTTATTACCCTTTATGGCAGATCAATGACTTGGGATGAAATTTCAAATGTAGAAGACCCGAAAAATACAGAGTAACAAAATGGGGTCAATGGTGTTACATTACCATCAGAAACGTTGTCCCCTGAGATAGATAGATAATAATAATAATCATTCAGATCCTAAAACATGTCATGCAATTCCTATTTTGGAGAATTCATTAGTATCATTTCCAATAGAGCCTCTTCAAGCACTCGAGTAAGATCATATCTATTAAATTATCCAAATTTCACATCTTTTTTATTATATGATGTGAGATTCAATAACATGTTTGTTAAACATGAATTCAAGGGATGTTTTGATGTATGTGAAAATGACGTGGCGACTGTTAGCCCAACTGGACAAGATGAGAATCCATTAAGCCCTGTAATGACTCGTTTTCACTCTTCACATTTATCAGGTCTGTTGTTAGTTACATGATTCTTGAAATTATATATGTTGTATGCCTTGACAATGTTATCTGGAAACTTCTCTTTTTTCAGTTATTCCAATAATACTAACTTGATGCTACTGTATGTGGATCCTCCACCTCCACTTCCACCTAATTCTTAATCTTCTGCAGGTATCTTCTACATGTATTTCCACTTGTTTGGTGGGGGTGCAGTAACCAATAAGATCATTTCACTGATGTGTCTGGTTAGTTAATATAACAAGAAGATCAGTTGCCCGACTTTGATTCTTTCCTCATCTGATTCTTTTACATTTGTACTAGATGAGGACCCCGGAGTTCATCTGAAACAACTTATCAGGAGGTTTTCTTTGCATGATCTACTATTTGCAACAAATAACTTTAATGAAAAAAACATTCTTGGCTGAAGTGCATTTGGAAAAGTTTACAAAGGACGATTAGCTAATGGTGCTTTGGTGGCTGTAAAAAGACTGATAGATAGTGTTAAAGGTGGCTGTAAAAAGACGATTAGCTAATTGCTAGAGTCCTCATCAAACAAAGGCGCATCTGGTAACAACTTTGAAGATGATGAAGTAATCATTCTCACTATTATAAACACAAATTATTTTTCTTGAAACATTATAACAAAAAGTAATGATTCTCACTAGTATCTTTTATGTGCAGTATGAAATTAAAAGGTTGTATCTGTGTTGTCAAGAAATGAGCCTCCACTATTCTGTTGTTGGGACTTTCATTTGTGTATCTGTCTCTTGCAGGTAACAGGTTATGTGGTCTTATTATGATGCCTATATGTTTTCTTCTTTCACTTCCTCTGATTTTCGCCTTTCTATTTGTCTATTTTCTGTTTTGCAACTCACATGTTATCTAAAACATGTTCATTGTTATGCATTTTGTATTTTGTATTTTTTTTTGTTATTTTCATGCTTTCATCACTACAGTTTGTTAAGTAGAGGCCTATTTGTGTTTATCATACGCAATTTGTTGAAAAGATGTTTGTTCTTATTTGAATCATTTAGACTACATGTTTCTCTCTTACATTATTTTTGTTTCATTACTCTGTAGGGTGGAGATCATGCTCTTGACCAAGCTACAAAGGAAGGAGGAGATAGAGATACATTAACTGTTGTGGCACCTATTGTTAAAAAAGAAAAGAGCAATAAAGCTTATGATGTTGACATGATATCTGAAAAAAGAAGGTGCCCCTTAATAGCAATATAGTATTAGGTTATATAGTTAGGGAAAATCTCTTAATAACAATTTCCAATCAGATCCCCTTAATATCAATGTATTACAATTTTTTTGACATGATGTTATTGGATTAAATTGATTATTTTGGTATATATTTGTTTATATATTTTTGTATTATGCGTAAATGAGTATCGTAAAGGCACGTTGTATATGCATATCGTAAATGGTTGCTGAATTTTATGACACGCAAATGCGTGTCATCTTCATTTATGACAGGGGCTTTAATGATACGCAATGTGTGTCCTAAACGCGCGTCGTAAGGTTACGACACGCAAATGCGTGTCGTCTTCCTTTATGACATGACCTTCCTTGATACGCATTGTGTGTCGTAAATGAGCGTCGTAAATGTGTGACGTAACTGCGCGTCGTAAATGAGCGTCGTAAATAGACGACGCACAAAAGGGTGTCGTCTCTCGTTATGACAGGGCCTTCCTTGACACGCATTTGTGCGTCGTCTGAGCGTTTTACGACACACATTGCGCGTCATAAAAGACTGTTTTTCTAGTAGTGGTGCTTACAATCGTTCATCTACATTCTCTCCATCCACACTCTACCTTTTTCCTCTGTTTCTTCCTCTAACACCGGTGATTTAGGGCAAAATCTCCGCCATCTTCAGTTCATCTTTAGTAATATGGATTTGTAATCTTGATCGGAATATACTACATATTTAGTGTTTATTTTTAGATACTGTTTTGTCAGCTTATAGTAATTCTATTGAACTAATCATTTTGGTATTTGGAATATAAGATTGGATTTGGATTTGTAATCTTGATTTTTGACTTGTCATTACAGATAATTGAAGAATTTTTTATATCTGTGATAACTATAGTGATCTCATTTGGATTGCCACTTTTTAGAAAATTTAGTGCATGCCCTGACTCAGATGCTTCTATTGAATGTCCTCGTGCACCAGAGATGTAGGGGAATTATGTAAATGTAAGGTCATTTATTTATTTTTATAACTTCTTTCACATAATAAAAATAAACTAACTTAAAATAGTGAAAATTTATTGTTAGTATCTGTAAAATTATGTTGTTGAAGTGTATTATGAGTTTAAGCACAAAAAAAACTGTTAACATGTTCATGTTGATGTTGTTGTAACATTTTTTTCACACAATAAACAGAATTAAAATAGTTCAAAACTAATGGCCTTGTTTTAGTTTTCC